TCCCGACTCCCGCCGCCGCCTGCCGCCTGCCCCGGGAGCAAGAATGCGAGGGGGACGGCGCGCAGCGCGACCCAGGCTCTGCAGGGGAAGCACACGGGCCGGGGGAGGGGGGCGAGACGTCAGGTCCCCGGGCAGCCGCAGGACAGCGATCGGCTCCCCCTCGGCGTCCCCGCGAGTCCCCAGCAAGTTCGCAAGGCTCACCTCTGCCGTGCACCCCGAGATCCCTGACCCCCGGGAAGCAGAGAGAGGCGAGCCCCACCCTCGCCACCCTCCTCCTCCCCCGTCCCACCCCGGTGGGCGACCGCGCACCGGGACACCCGCGCCGCTGCCACCTGTGTGCCGAGCTCCCCGCGACTCCTCTCCGCTGGCGCGGGCTCAGGCTCCCGCGCCACGGACGCCTCCATTCCGGGACGGGGCATGGAACCCCCTAGCCGGCTGGAACAGGCGGAGACGCGTCCAGCGGAGAAGGGGACCGGTGCACGAGTCCCGCGCGGGAGACCCGGGGAGCCCCTTCCTTACCTCGGAGAAGTTTAGGTGGGACAAGGAGCGGGGCGGGGAGGAGGGTTGTCCAGGTGAGCCAGAGCGCTCAGGACGCGCACGACCAGCCACGGCAAACTCGCCCGCTGGAGCTCGGGGGCAGTCCCTGGCCGGAGGGAGGGAGAGAGGGTGGGAGGGAGAGAGCGAGGGGCGGAGGGGGGGCGGGAGCCGAGCAGGGCCGAAGCGGGGCGGAAAGGACCGAGTCCGTGCCAGAAAGTGGGAGGGGGGGAGGGAGTGCCGCCGAAGTCCCGCCCTCCGCGCCCAGGTACGCGGCGCCCCGCCTCTCCCGCCGCGGCGTCCCCTCCCTCCCGGGGCGCCAGTGGCTGGGACGTCTCATTCTTCCAGCTCTGGAGATTCTGGGGCGGGATCGGTCGCTCCACGCCCCTCTCCTCACTCCTCTTCCCCGCCTCTCAGGTCTCCCACCACTCTTCCTTTTAAGTCCAAGACCGTATTATTCTAGGGAAAGTTGTGACTTGCTGAAGGCAAGTGCTACCAGCTAATGATGATTCAGGACCTGACTCGCCAGGGTGGGGAAATACCCATGCATCCCTTTCCCTCGCTGCTGCCCACCCCTTTGGGGATGCAAGGGATGGCGAGGAGGACCCTGAGAAACTCAGCAAGCCTCTTCAAAACAGCGAGTGTCGTGGGAAGGGAGTTAGCTAAAAGAAGCTAAAATTAATGATTTATCAAGACTTTGTTATTCTCTCAAGCTTTTGACTCGACATGATGCCTTTGCACACTTTTACTGTATTTTGCAGTTCATCCCGTTTTCACGCAGTCTCTACACCGCTTATGGACGGTTTTAGCAGCAAATCTCCCACTAACATCATAAAGCTGGATAGTCTCCTTTTTTTCCATCCCTACTTTGCTCAGGAGTCCATCCTCGCACGCGGGTCTTCTATGGTCTCTAGATCCGGGCTGAATGGGCCCCCGCTGATCTCTCACTTCCCTGTAAAGGCAGAGTGCATCATTGTCAGGGGCTGTGAAACCATGCCTTCATGTCCTAAAAAGTAAGAGCCGTGAGTCACACACAGGCTAATCTAACAAATCTTCCTCATTTTGCTCAGGTGGCACAGTGTAGGGAAGGAGGCTACAGGCAGAGCAATAGGAACAGGCGACAATGACTCACAGGCTCTGCATTTCTCAGAAGCAGTTCTGGTCTTTGGCCTGCCGGTTGGGCTGAACATACGTTTAACTTAGAGAACGCTTAGAAAGTTACTTGGTAAAAGGTCTCACCTGAGAGACTTTAAAACATACTGATCGTGAACGTAGCTGGAACAAACTGAATTGTGGTTTTGTTTTGGGGGGTTTTAAGAGGCAAGATGAACCTGAAGGTGGCGGCGCATGCCTTTATTCCCAGCACTCAGGAGGTAGATAGAAGCAGGCAGATCTCTGTGAGTTCGAGGTCAGCCTGGTTTTATAGAGCGAGTTCTAGGACAGCCAGGACTACACAGAGAAACTCTGTCTCGAAAAATAAGACAAAACAAAAGAGGCAAAATGGAGCCTAACTATAAACTTTCGCATTCAGGCATTGATCTCTTGGAGGGGCTGTAGACCATGCTGGAAAGAGGACATGCTCAGTTGAGGTGCCCAGACGTAATTTATCGCACAGATTTTTTTATGTTTAAATTCTCTGAAATTCAGTGGCTTTCTCTTACTACAAGATCAGCAATAGTACCACATGTTTAGAAGCTGTTTTAAGAGTTGACTCTGACTGTAGTATGCTTGGTTCAAGGGCCACTCCTGTTACTATAATATCAAACTGTCCTGGGGTTCTGAATGGGGAGACAGAAAGGAGGAGGAGGAGGAAGAAAAGGAAGTGGAGAAGAAAAAAAGAAGAGGAGAAGATGTAAGGGGAAGAAGAAGAAAGAAGGAGCAGGAGGAGATGGAAGAAGAGGAGAAGGAAGAGGAGGAGGAAGAAGAAGAGGAGGAGGAAGAGGAGAAGAAGAAGAAGAAGAAGAAGAAGAAGAAGAAGAAGAAGAAGAAG